TTTTTTTTTTTACTTCTGTTTGCTGTCTTATGAAATAGCTTCGTGTTGTTCTCCATTATTTGATTAATTTCTTTTTAGGTTTTGGTCTCCAACAAATTTCATCTTTTAGGACCTTTCCATCGAGTAATTTTAAGATGACGTCCTTCAGTCCTTGAAGCTTCACTAATGTTCCTTGATTCTATTCGAAATGGCATTTAGCCTCCAAGGCCTATTATGAATAAAACAAGAAGTTCAGTACATGTCAGATAGAACTACCTCTGAATTGTAAATAGAATTCAGTGCATATTGAGACTAATGTATCACAATAACTGTATTTTTAATAGTATTATATGAATACTAACTTATTTACACTTTAAGGATTTTGGAAACTATAATATAAAGTTTAATTTGACGAGGGAGGTTAGTTTAATCTTTTGAAATGGGCAGAGGTTTATGTACAAGCGATTTTGTATAATTTAAATTTTAAAAAAATAGAATGATCCAAGTGGCTCTAACAAGTGTATGGGAAACTCTGAACCAAGTCTTTGAAGAATTGCAACCCCCCGGCCCCTCTCTCTCCCTCTCTCTCTATTCAAATCAGATTTGTCTTTGTGTGACATAGATCTCGGCATTTGCAGGTCAAAAGTGTAGAGCAAGAACACGATGCTGATGATGAAGGAGCAGCACTAACGGGTCAGATGGAATAGAAACATATAATTCTGTGCAAAACAGGCGTATTATATAAAGGTGAGCTCAAGAGGTATTTGGGGTGTGCAATTCCTGTACAGGAGCAAATAAAGTTATTATAGTTAATTTATTAAATGGTAGAGCATTATGGAGTTATTGGTGTAGGTAGTTGCATCATAAGAATTTTGAGCTTGTAAGAACACTGTATAACAAGGGGAAGGACGATTGATTTACTGTTACCACTTCAATTTTTTTGTTCATTAGAAGTCTACTTAATATTCACATTGTCCCTGTACTGCTAGTTATTTATTTGTTTTCCTATATTGTTGCGTTGCACCATGCTGGTCTGTTGTTATGAGATGAACTATTGAATCATTTTTTATTCGTTCCGGTGGCTTTAAATCTGTCCAATATGTGCGATGAATACCTTGACAAAGGGACCGAGTGATTTGAAAATTTTAAGCGAATCTGCCATTTTGTGCTGAAGCATGTGATTTGTTCCTTGAGAGGTCTTGCCTTGGTCTGATAGTTGTGAACAGCTTGCTGCTTCTCCTTACAGTTATGCTATTTGCTTGTTCATATTTATCACTTAGTCGCTCATTTGTTGACTGGTCGATTTTGGATCTAAGAAGGGAGGGCTGTTAAACAACAAAATAAAAAATAAAACTCTTGGTTAGTTTGTGTTGTTTTCCCTTTTTCTTTTTGGGCAAGTGTAAGCATTGGGCCTGGGTCATATGGGCAAAACTAGAAATGTGTTTTAAAGACAATTTCATAAGTTGTAAATTTTCTGAATTACCCTTGAAACAAGCGGCTAAATTGACAAAATGTGACAGTAGGATCTAATTGCAATTACTTGTTGAGTTAAAGGATGTAATTGCCTCAAAAAAAGTTTCGAGACTTAATTAAAATTCGAGGTAAAGTTCAGGGACCTCTACAATTAAAATCCCATATCTTTAATAATAGACTTTTAACTTCCCTTTTTAATCGACAAAAGCTTTTGTTTTTTCTGCGAAAATTTGGTTGTGTTGGGACTCAAAATCCTACATAGGAAAAATAAAATATCCTAGGGCGGTTTAAGAGCCCTTGAACACCCTTCCTTTATACATTGGTGTTTAGGAGCAAGTTCTACCTATGAGCTTTTATTAGGGTAAAATGAATACAACACGACTCATTTTTATTTATTTATCTCACTCATCATGTTACAAGGCTTACATGCCTTTTTCGGGGTATATACGAGTTTCTTTTGCCATGGTGATACGTGTGCTTGGCTGCGTGAGATAGTGCAGAATGAGTTAGCAAAACACTAATAAGATGGACCACAGGAATCCTAGGCTGTGGAGTGTAGAGGTGTACTTGGAATGTTTCTGGATGACTTGACATCAGCCCTTTGTGGAACTTAAATAAGGGCCCTCGAATCATCTAATATGAAAATATTATAAATATTCTTTTTATCGTGAATTGATGCCATAAACCAATAAAAGTAATGAATACAACTATCTTCCATGAAGGCATACGTGGCTTAGTGGTGTTGTGTGATAAAGTTGTTTGATGTCATGGGGTCAATTCTTATTGGTGCCATTTATGGAAATTTTTTGTTATTTTGAAAAGAATTGTTATAAAGAAAACACAAAAACACACAAGTGGTAATCAAACCAACACCCCTAACAAGTATAGAAAGGCGACAAAACTAGTTATGTTAGACACACAATTGTGTAAATATGTTGTGTGCTCATATATATATATATATATATACACACATAGGAAAAATTTGAAGACCCTAAAAAATTGGGGGCATGTTGTACACCATCAAGGCCGCCCATGATCACATGTACTTGGTAATTTTGTTGCTCGCATTTGTAATCCTTTTCCTTTTGGTGTGATGGACACATTGTCGGCATGGTCGATATTTCATGGATTTAAGATATAGTATTAATAAATAAATACTCGTATTGTAACATGACTAAACTAGTAATACCACGTGATGTAACAGTGTGACATACTCAATGAAATTTCTTTCATAAATTATGGGGCCTTTCTGTATTTTCTCCGAGCATGTTATAGATGAATCTTACAACTGAACTTAACACTAATGTTACCTATTTCCGGGTGCATACATTCATGTGTAATCATACTTATTCCTACCCAACACATGTGATGATGTGAAATATACAAAGCCCATGTCTACCCGACACAAAAAAAAAATTAAAAGCAATCCACAAAGCAAAGCAAAGCCAAGAAATATAAGCAGCCAGCCCTTTTGGTTGTGCATAGCCGACAGTCCCCACCTCCTATTTTCCTTGGCAGCTTTGGTACTACTTCTCTCTTTGGGCAGACAATAACTTCTCTCTTAGCAGCATCTTCTCCTATCTAAGGCAACAAGTATTCTTCTCATGCTCTCCTATTTAATTATCTTCTCCTATTGGGTTTTTCCTCAAGTAAATGTATGCATCTCCTATTGGGGTGATGTAGAGAGTAACTATATTGCTGTGATGTTCTTTGAGTTTATGTTTTCATTGATATACATCGCCTTCTCTGCTTTAAGGAAATCACCACTCTTCCTCAGTTATGTCAACAATTGGTGGAAACAACTTGTTAAAAAACTACCATTTGCTTTACAGGTTGATTCAATTGGTGTTGACTCTTCATGTTTCTAAAGCAACAACGGAGCTAGCTTTTTCATAGAGAATTATTAAGAATCGACTTCAGAGCACCATAGCTGATGAATTCCTTGCTGATTGCATGATCCTCCACATTGAAAGAGAGTTTGCTAATAGTATCAATAATGCAGAGATAATTGATGAATTTAAGATTTCTAAGCCTCGTAGGGTAAAGTTTTAGATTTAAATAATCTAGTTTTGTGTTGCATTGCATTTACTTCTTGTTTTTTTTTTCTAGTTTTTTTTTGGTTAAGTGTAAACCGTGCGTCCTTCTCGCCGAGTAAATGGCTCGAACCTGGGTTAAGGTAGGGCTTATACTCAATCTTGTGGAAGAGATACCTCAGGAGATTACCTGCACACTTTGAACAGTTATCAGAATAGGAGCAAACTGGGGTTTATCCCAGTTGAACCCCCTCCGATGGCTAAGTCAAAAGTAATTTAGAGGTGGGTAAATGGATGTAGGGTTTGTAAGGTGAGAATATTTATTACCTTTGTCCTGATATAGGTGAAGGGTATTTATAGGGCGAGAATGAGAGATAAAGATCTTTAAGGAGGAGATGTTTATCTCCCTTCCCCCTTGTGGGACATGACTACATTAAATGACTTCTTCTTATCATCATGTTGTATGACAGGTATTAGGTGGCCAAGCGACACTTGGGTTCGGATGGGAGGCGCATTAATGGATCCCTTTCTATCACCAGGCTACTCATTAGGGATCAAATGGTAAAGCGATACCTGACTTTGGATGTGAAGTACATTAATTGATCTCTTTCCATCACCAGACTGTTGTATCAGACAGATGGAGT